AAAAATACAGTTAAACAATTTTGAAAAAAAAAAATAAATTTTAGAATAGAATTTGTTTTTACACCCAGAGAAATGATATATATTTGTCTCACAGTCTAATAAATATTTATTTGATTTAAATAAAAAAATTTATTTACTCCAAATAAATAGGCTATAATAGGCTCATTTTTCCTTTTGAAAAATTCTTTACAATTCTTTGTGTTGTTTTTTCTTAAATTATAATGTAAGTTATTGTTTATATATAGATATTATTAGATATGTGGGAAACATTTAATTTTATTATGAGAAAATCTGAAATCATCGAGAGAGAGAGAGAGAGAAAAAAAAAATCTAAGTATGGACTTTTTGTAATCGACGAGTCACTTTTGTTTACGGAACTTAGATTAAATTATGTATCTCTTGAGATAAATCGCGCACGTTGATGAATTATTATTATCTGAGTACATTTTCTAAGTTAAAAAAAAATTAGAAGAAAAATAGTGTTAATTTTATTCCAAAAATTTCATATTTTATCATTTGGTTATTTGTATAAGTTTTGTTAAAATTTTCTTTTCATAGTATTTAATTAGTTTCCCTCTCTTTCGGATTTCTATTTTGTTTTATTTAATTAAACAAATAAAAAAATTAATAAAAAAAAATAGTAAAAAATATATATTTTTAAAGAAATCAATAAAAAAAATTGAAAAAAAGGAGATTTTAGTAATTTAACAGTAACGGATGAGGCAAATTAAGAAGTTGAGATTTAATGCGAATAGCACACTAGCACAGGTGAATTAGAATTAACACTAACTGAATGCAATAAACGTTGATTAGCCTTGATGGTTTCTCACATTAATTACCCCTACTCTTTTTGCGTATTTTTTTATTATTATTTTTTTTTTTTGTTGCCCTATAACCGAGGTATCGTTACGAAATTTTATTCGCGATTCAAAAGACTTTAATTAGTCTCGGCAAGATTCTCGATCTAATTATTATTATTGTCCATCATGGTGCGGTCGAGTAGTTTTTTTCAACATTATTTCCTTTGTGTATATATATTTTTGTTCTCAAACGACAATCATCTCTTCAAGACAACGATCGAAATGTTTCGCTTCTTATTATTTATTTATTTTTTCTTTTTTCCCTCCTGTTATTATTATTCTCGATGTATTATTAATTTTTTTTTTAATTGAAATATTTCAGTTTGAAATATAATTGGTTATTTCGTTTCAAAGATGTAGAAAATTGTTGAATGCAAAAACAACATACAGATTATAATTTTGCTCACGATATATACTTTAATCAAAAAAAAGTGCACACAGAAAAATGTTTTACTTGAATCAAATATATTTGAGTAAAATTAATTACTTAATTTGTATAATTTATTATGGCGCCAAAATTTATACCTTATTATAATTTTTGTTTTTTTTTCACTAAACATCTGTTTACTACACTGTAAAAAAAAAAAATTTATTTGATTCAAATAATCGATTACTTGACTATTATAAAATAAATATTTACTTGGACCAAATAATTTTTACTTGAATTAAATAAATTGTATTTGAACGAATAATTTATGTATTTGAAACAAATGTAATTTATTTAATTCAAGTAAAAATTATTTGGTTCAAGTAAATATTTATTTTATAATAGTCAATTAAATTTGAATCAAATAATTTTTTTTTATTTTTACAGTGTAGTAAACAGATGTTTGGTGAAAAAAAAAACAAAAATTATATATAAAAGATATAAATTTTTCATACTGTGGGCGCCATAATAAATGATACAAATTAAGTAATTATGCGTGGCTGGTCTCATTTGAGCGTCATTGACACAACGAATTCGTGTCACATCAGAAATGATAACGTTGGATTAGGCAATGCGCAACGGGCGAATTAAGACGATGATGATGACCAAACGTCCGCGCGCGACTTTCCATTTATTCACAGGCGGATAGGGATAAATTAATCTATTAACGAGAGAATTAAGAGAATTTACAACGAGACTTATATATTATTACTTTTGAGATAAGCGTCATGTAAAGAATTCGGGTAAAATACCAGTGAATCCTTCAAATTGGTTTCCTCCCCCTTTTTTTTCTTTCTTTCACTTCCGGATGATTCATCCCTTAATTTCGAATCTTGTCTCATTTTGTTTTTGTTTTTTTTTTTTTAAATAAGCTTTTCACATATTCTGAAAATTGTTCTCCTTTAAAGTATATAACTTCCTTCAGGTCGTAAAAAGTTTTTAAGAAACCATTAAATTTTATTAGAAAGCTCTTGACCCTATTTTCATGTCTACTTCAAATATAACAAAATTTTAGTGCAATTTTTCGTTTAATTGAACTACATAATTAAATGAAATTAAAAATTTATTTATTTATAATTGAAATATAAATTTTTATTTGATTTCAATAAAAAAAAATTATTTACGTCAAATAAATAGACTATAAGACAAATATACGTTTATTTAGCTTAAATATATTATATTTGATTCAAATAAAACATTTCTCTGGGTGTAATATACTTTAACCTATTAGACAAAAAAAAATTTATTTGATTCAAATAATCGCGGTTCTACTTGACTACAGACAGAAAAATGTTTTATTTGAATCAAATATAATATATTTGAGTTAAATAAACGTATATTTATCTCAGAGTCTACTAGTCCATTTATTTGGTGTAAATAAATTTTTTTATTTAAATCAAATAAAAATTTATTTAAATTAAATAAAAATTTATTTAAATTAAATAAATATTTATTTGAATTAAATAAAATATTTATTAGACTGTGAGACAAATATATAATTTCTCTGGGTGTAGAAAAAATTTCTATATTAGCATAAAGTATTTCACATTTAAATTTTTTAGTATTAAAATAATAGACTGCTAAAAGAAGAAAAGGGTCATCTGCTTTTAATCTCACTAGATCCTTAAAAGTAGACCATAATTGGATAAAATCCCTTGTTATAACGAAAATTCATTTTTAGGTTTCAGTAAAGTACTTATATCAACACACATTTCTCAAAGGCTTATAAAGAGCTTTGTCTGCCTTTGTTTGAAAAAAATGTTATTATAATTAAAAAGTAAAGTAATACAATTTACACATATTTTGTAATAGAAAAAAAAAATAATAATCCCCACGTGATCACTTTTTTCACTCTACAATGAAATATACGTTTATTTAACTCAAATACATTATATTTGGTTCTAAAAAAAAACATTTTTTTCTTGGTGCACTTTTAAAATTTTTTTTTTGGCAAACATAATTGCTATTTGTAATTTAACAAATTATTGATGAAATTATGTTTAAAAAAAATTTTCAATAAGGAAATTATTAGGTTTTGAAAAATTGCACCTCATTTTTTACTAAATTCATTCCTTAAATGAATTAGTAACCGTTTTGACTAATTTTTGTAGTTAAAAATGACAAATTATTATTATAAAACTACTAATTAATTTAGTAAGGCTACTATTTCAATTAGTAAAATTTAAGAAATAAATTAGTAGCTTTCTATAAACAATAAATAATTTTTAACTACAAAAATTAGTCAAGACGATTACTAATTTTTAGTCAAAAATAACTAAATGTTGGTAGTAAACTACTAATTAATTTAGTATGGCTTCTTTTTGAATTATTGAAGTTTAAGAAATGAATTAGTAGTTTTCTACTAATAATTATTTATTTTTGACTAAATATTAGTAATCGTTTTGACCAATTTTTAGTAAAAAATTCATAATTGTTAGTAGAAAATTACTAATTCATTTATTAAAGCTTACTAATAAAAACGTAGCCTTACTAAATGAATTAGTAGCTTTTTACTAACAATTATTTACTTTTTAACTAAATATTAGTAATCGTTTTGACCAATTTTTAGTAAAAAATTCATAATTGTTAGTAGAAAATAACTAATTCATTTATTAAAGCTTACTAATAAAAACGTAGCCTTACTAAATGAATTAGTAGTTTTTTACTAACAATTATTTACTTTTTAACTAAATATTAGTAATCGTTTTGACTAATTTTTAGTAAAAAATTCATAATTGTTAGTAGAAAACTACTAATTAATTTATTAAAGTTTACTAATTGCAAAATTGCCTTACTAAAGAAATTAGTTGTTATCTACTAAAAATTATTAATTTCTGACTAGAAATTGGCAATCTTCTTGACTAAATTTTAGTCAAATATTACTAATTGTTAGTAGAAAACTACTAATTAATTTAGTATAGCTTCTTTTTCAATTATTGAAGTTTAAGAAATGAATTAGTAGTTTTCTACTAACAATTATTTATTTTTGACTAAATATTAGTAATCGTTTTGACTAATTTTTAGTAAAAAATTCATAATTGTTAGTAGAAAACTACTAATTAATTTATTAAAGTTTACTAATTGAAAAATTGCCTTACTAAAGAAATTAGTTGTTTTCTACTAAAAATTATTAATTTCTGACTAGAAATTGGTAATCTTTTTGACTAATTTTTAGTCAAATATTACTAATTGTTAGTAGAAAACTACTAATTAATTTAGTAAAGTTTACTAATTGTAAAATTGCCTTACTAAAGAAATTAGTAGTTTTCTACTACTAATTTATTAAACTTTTTAAATTACTAATTAATTTATTAAAGTTTACTAATTGAAAAAAATAGCCTTACTAAAGAAATTAGTAGTTTTCTACTAAAAATTAGTCATTTTTGATTAAGAATTATTCAGAACGATTACTATTTCATTTAATGAACGAATTAGTCAATAGAGCATAATTCAGATTTTTCATTGTTTTTATAATTATTTGAAATGATGTTTATTATTATTATTATTATTATTATTATTGTTTATTAATGTTTATTATTATTGTTTATTATTTTTATATATTTATATTTTGTTTGAAATTAATTTAAAATAAAATAAAAATACTATAAAAGATATTTATGAGTAAAAAGAAAAATGTGAAAGAAAAAGTTTTTATTGGATCTAATGAAAGAAATATTATATTCGAGGGGGTAAAAAAAATGAATGAAACTTACAAAAATAGAATTAAAAACGTTGTCGTAGAAAATTATTGGTGTCTTGAGTATTGCTTCGATAGAGGCCAGCTGTCCGCTGGGATCATTTTTAAGAGTGTTAGCACCGGGGGTGGCGTATGGATAGAGATCATTTTTGGAAAGGGCAAGGGTGAGGGGTGCGAAGACCACGAGGGCGCCTATAAGGGCCCTAAAACGCGCACTATCAACCATCCTCTCGGACTGTCTTAACGCGACTGTTGCTCCTGTTTTCCGTCGTTTGCCGCTACCACCACACACACACTCGCGTCTCTTCTTCCCTATATATGCGTATATATATATATAATCGTCTTTTCTTCGATGAGTTGGGCTTTCAAGAGTCATATGTTATATGTCCTCTTCTCGTTCACATGTGCTCTTTTCTATTTTATGGAAGAGGGAATGCACTCTCGTGCGGTCCGCGATAATTTCGTGGGCTAACCCCCCCCCCCCCCTTCCTTACCCTCTTCCAACAAAAAAGACACAATTCTTTGAGAATTTTTTTTCTTTTTTTTTCTTCTTTTACTTTAATGTATATAAGACAAGAGAGAGACGCATCACTCTTATAGAAGAAATCACTTCTCATTTATCTCATTCATTTTACTTCCGAAGGAAACTGTTTAATCAACTCGGCATTCCACTTACCTTCTTTTGCTCATTGCTTCAATTGAATCATTCTCTTTATCATGATATATATATACAAGAATAAGTGAAAAATATTATTTTACCATTAAAAAAAAAGAAATTAATTAAAAAATAAATTATTAATTTACTCTCTAAATCTGAATTAGTAAAAATGTTTACTAATTTGAATTAGTGACTCACTTTTTGCTTCTGAATTAGTTAAATTTTACTAATTGTTAGTAAAATTTACTAATAATTAGTAAAATTTTACTAATTTAGAAGCAAAAAGTGAGTCACTAATTCAAATTAGTAAACTAATAATTGTTAACTAATAATTGTTAGTAAAATTTACTAATAATTAGTAAAATTTTACTAATTTAGAAGCAAAAAGTGAGTCACTAATTCAAATTAGTAAACATTAGTAAACATAAATTAGTAACTAATTCAGATTTAGAGAGTATAAACGACTTTTTACTCTCTAAATCTAAATTGGTAAAATTTTCTAATTAATTTAAATTATTGACATTTTTGATTTTGAATTAGTAAAATTTAACTAAATCAAAAGCAAAAAATAGTCACTAATTCAAATTAGTTAATTTTTTTTTTACTAATTCATACATTTAGAGAGTAAATAAAATATAATAGTACAAAAAAAATATAAATTAAAAATTTTCGAAAAATTACTTTTTGTTTTTTAAATTTCATTAAAATTCTTTTTAAAATAATTTGGTGAAATAATATTGATAATAAAATAAAAAAATAGAATATTATTATTTACCCATTGTAAATTGATCTTTATTACAAGAAATTACATATCTAATTTGTACATATCAAATATAAATATAATACAATGACTATGGTACAATACTTTTTGAAAGGGATTTAGAAGTAGATCAATTATGACAGACGGACTGGCTCCCTTTGGCAATTGATTTTTTTTTTTTTCTTTTTCTTGCCAATGAGATTGGCAAACAAGAGCTTAAAAATTGGCCCTTTTACACAGCTACCTATATATGTAAAAATTAATTTATAAAATTTTTCCAAATTTCGAGAGCACTAATATTAGTCCGATAAATAAATATATATATATATTGAAAATCGTTAAAAATTCTGGACGTGTGACAATCTTTGAAATGTTTTTTTTTTTCTTTTCTCTCAAGTCAATAAAAAAAAAGAATGGATTTTTTAAAATAATTTTTCGTTTCCGCGCGACTGATTCCAATTATTATATGTCAAAAGAAACATACATTCAGAATAACACAGTAAATTTACAGTTTTCGTCTTTTCAAACATGAAAAAGTTAAAATTATTTAAAATTTAGTATCTGAAGTAATATTAAAATAATCCAAATAATAATAATAAATAATAACATAAATAATTATAAATAATAATACAAATAACATTAATTAATAATTATTCACATAATTAATTTTTTAAATATTTTAAATAATTTATTTAGTCAAATTATAGGGAAAGAAGGGTCAACAAAAATTGTATTATATATAAAAAGAATTTTTTTTTTTTTGTGTAATTTAAAATTATTAGCATTTATTATTGTTGAAGAGACGAAAATTGTGATTTTTCTGGTTTTGAAAACGGAGGGTGAGGCTCACGCAGAAAAGTTTCTTATTATAATATTGTAATCTATGCGTGTGGTAGAATTTGATGAGCTACGTTTTTTTTTTATTTATTTATTTTTTTTTTCATTAATGACTGGAGTCTCTCTAATTGTAAGTGAATTATAGGAGCTCTACAAAGTGCAGTAACTGCGAGATAACGATTAAAGCTACGATATTATTTTGAATTAACGTGCGTGCATTAATATTAATACTTACGGCCTGTGTTTAATTGTAAATCGTATATTGATTTGGCAGTACGATTTGCATTTTTTGTTTTCGGAAGAGTCAGTTCGATTCTTATCGCACCCTGATCGTTAATAATTTTTAAATTATAGAAAAAAAAATAAATACAAATTTTTATGTCTCTCTCTCTCTCTCTGTTTTTCTCTCACGCTCTTAAAAGAAAATTTCGAAACTTAGAACATCATTAGGAAGACAAAAACTTGGAATATTTTTCTATAAAAAGTTTTTAATGTACAAATTCGATATGAAATTTTTAAATTTGTTCTGTATTAAATAGATTAGTTGGTTCAAAAAAAAAGAAAAAAAAAACTTTAAAAATATTGATACGATAAAAATTGTTATTAGAAAATTGTGATAATTTGAAAATTTTGTTTTAAAATTTTAATGAAAAATTTTTGTATGAAAATTGTAATTTTTCTCGTAGAGGCTTTTTCTTTAAATTCATTTTTTGTAACATTAAATCCCACACACATACATTTATTCACTTATTCTTTATTTTCGTCTCATTTTTGTTTTAAGAAATAGAAAAATTGCCTAACAGTCTTAATCGGAAGTTAGCTGTTTATCTGTTGCCTTTGCAATCTTTCAGTCTCAGTAATTAATGACGATTATCATGATAATTTAACGAATTTTTAAAATACAATGGCAGTTTTTTTTTTTATATAACAAAGTTTGGACAATTCTTTTTTTTTCAATTAAAAAACGATGGGAAAAAGTACAATAGAAACAATTTTAATTATAGTCATCTATTTATTTGAATGGAATATAATTGCAATGCTGTAATTTTTTTTTTTTTGGTCAAATTTCTAAAAAACAAAAACATTGGAAAGCATTTGAAAATGCATTTTAGAAATTTAAAAAAAAAAAAAAATTAAAGCATTCAATTTTTGGATTTTGTTTTACACACACGTCAGTCACAGTTTCCTACATATGTAGAATCCCAATTTTTCTATTTAAATAGTCTTTTTCAAAATTTGCATTTCTTTATTTTCTTTACAACAAAGAAGCATTTAACTTTTGTTTCTAATGGAGTTGCAATTGGAATGAATGATCAGCACGTAGTAATTTGCGCTGATCCGAATAATTGTTAGGTGATTTTGATTCCAGTTGGTGTATCCAAGTATATTGATTCTCTCCTTGGATACGAATCGAAACAGGTTATCAGTATCACGTGACTCTTGCAGGCTTCCACTCTTTTTTGGAGAATGAACGTCTCTGCCTCGAGAGCTTCCAAGAAAGCTGGATCCCGCCAGTCCATACTGTCCTCCACGTGCACTAGAAAAAAGAGAAATAAATTTTATTCCGGTTGATAATAGTATTTTCATTTTTTTTTTTTTTTTTTTTAAATCAGGGATTTTCGAACATTGACAATTTTTGTTAAAGTTTAGTGATTGAATTGCAAAATTACAGTGATGTAAAATAATTTTACTATAAGCATTATAACTAAAGTATATTTTATTAAATAACAGGTTTGTTAAATTTTTAATCAGTGCGATAATTCACTGCCTAAATAGCACAACATATGGCCACAATATTGCAGCAATATTTCATGATCAATTTTGCGAATATTGCAGGGAAATATTGAGACAATATTACTGCAACATTGATTATGTCCGCACTGCAGGAATATTGCACGTTAATATTTAGGCAATATTGCTCTGCAATCGTGCTGTCCAAACTGATATCTGCCTTAAGTTGCGAATATTGCCTTAATATTGCGCAACTTAAGGGAGATATCAGTTTGGACAATAAGATTGCGGAGTAATATTGACTCAATATTACCGTGCAATATTCCCACAGGACGGACGTAATCAATGTTTCAGCAATATTGCCTCAATATTGCCATGTAATATTCGCAATATTGTTATGTAATATTAATGCAATATTGTGGCAACATGTTGTGCTATTTGGATGATGAAATAGCGGGAATTGTAACTGAAACACTTCAGTAAGATTTCTACTGAAATTTAGTAGTATTACCATCAATCGGTAAAACAGATCATTAAAGAACTTTATACTGATTCTAATTAAAGTATGACTAAATTTTAGTAGAAATCTTATTGAAGTGATTCAGTTGCTAAATTTCAGCTATTTTATCAGTTTAATTTCACTGATTCAAAAGGGAGTAAGATAAAACACCCAGTAGTCGATCATTTTGGTATAATTGTCTCTCACAGCACCGGATATTTAAGGATATCAATTTGCTTCCAGCGGTTTGGATATCCCTAGGACATCCTCAGGATATCCTAGGGTTGCCCAAACCACTGGAAGCAAATTGATATCCCTAGGATGTCCCAGGAATATCCTTAAATATCTTGTGCTGTGAGGAGGGATATAGTTAATTTATAGTTCAATTAAATTAACTACATTCAAATTATATCAAAATGATCGATTACTGGACGTTTTACCTTAATATTAGGAATTTAAAATTGCAATTCGATACTAGTGACTATGTGAACTAAAATACATGAAGGTCAAAAAAATGTGTTGCGTCTTTTCATTTTAAAAATTAATATAATGTATTTCAAAATGGGGAAAATTCTGTTTTTGTATTATTTAGTCGTACAAAACGTACTAGTTTCTGACCAAATAATACTGAAAATTAATATGATCCATATTGCATTTCAGTATTATTTGGTCAGAAACTAGTACGTTTCATACGACTAAATTAGTACAAAAACAGAATTTTCCCCATTTTAAAATACATATTATATTAATTTTTAAAATAAAAAAAGTCTTTCATTGCTATAAAGTATCAGCTTTTGGAAAGAAACTTACGTTCGTAACTCCAACGGTCATCGGACATCATTAGTCGCCTTTTAGCATCGCGTAATTCCCGTCTAAGAAGGCGCTGGCGCAGACGTAGGTTGTGTATCTTGAACATTATTCCACGCGGCTCCGAGCGCAGCTGTGCGCGTCTGTCCAGAGTTGCTACGTCCTCGCCTGTGTAGACGAGAATCCCCGCGGGAATTCCCTGGGCCGGGACCCGGAGCACGCATCCTGCCCCCGGTTGTTCCACCGCTGAAACACCCGCACAACGTCGAGGTTAGAACTCCCAGAGCGCCACCTGAGGAGAATCACCGAATGGGGCTCGATTTTAGCCGATTGCTCTTTTTCTACATAATATACACCAATTTTTACACTCTTCTTTATTATTTTTAGTTACTTTTTTGATCCCCAATCATCAATTTTTTTTTGTTTCGTATTTCAAAAAAACTTATTTTTTATAACTATTCTGTCACATTACGAAAAAGTCCATTTATACAAGACTTTAGGAAGTTACTCAATGAATACATGAATTTCCGATTCGGATGTTGCCTTAAAGAAAGTGAGCGCAAGAAGTTGCGGATTTGATTAATGGAGTTTCATTGAAAGGCGATGGGTCATGAAAAATTACACTTGACGAAAAAAAAAAAAAAAGCCAATAACTTTTGTTATTGATGAAGCCGAAGGGAGACGAGAATTTTTGCTATAGGATGAAAAGAAAAAGATAATATTTATATAATTTATACCTTGATGTTCTTGGAGGGCATTTGTGTGTCTTGACGAGTCACTTGCAATGCTACTTGTTTCACTATCACGTACAATACTGTCGTATCCTGAACTCTCTGCTCGATGTCTCGATAGTGTTGCTGGTGAAAGTTTAGCAGCTCTTGGCGTTGAATCAGCCCCCGAATCATAACCATCTTTATTCAAACCAAATGATGATCCTAGACTTAGAATTTTGCGTTGCATTCGACCCGATGATGGCACTGAACTTGGTATTGATATTTGAAGTGGTGTCGCAACTGTAGTCAAAAAATTTTGTTATAAATAATTATTTAAAATAAATTCAAATTCCATTAAAACTAATAATAATTTACCAATTGTTTTTCGGTCCTCTTCGATATCAGATTTTCCGGTAACTGTTCTTTCCGTTCTTTCGTTTGTACCAAAGAGTTTTTTAGCTTCGATATATTCCTCTTCAGGATCGGAGCCCGAGGCTCCGTTACCAGGTATCCTTTCAATTTCCTCTTTGAGATTTGGATTTGAAGCACCGTCGGGATGTCGTAGACTTGAAATATTGCATTCTCCCAATTTACCACAATATCTTCTGGGACTGGCAAGATGTGCTACACTACTTGGATACCAGTAGGATGCTGTCTCTGGTCGTGACATTGTTTGTCGACAATTGTCACAAATTTTCTCCTGTTCTGATTTTCCAGCTATATAGGCCGGTTCACTGAAGGTACTGCCATGATTGCTTGCGTTGTCATTGAAGAGAACGTCCGAGAGTGATAATGATTGACACCGGGAAGGTGGACGGAATGTCGTGGCGGCTGGAATTTGTCCTGCGTTAATAATTGCATACTTGATGTAAGCAATAAAATAATCTTTTCATTCTAATTTTATATTTCCCCATTATAATTTTGTCACTATATTATCGGAGTCTTCAAGATACAATTTTTTTTTTTATAAGTACTTTAAGATGTAAAAATCTAGTTGGAATTTTTTTTTTGGATTACCATAAATGTTAATTTTCTGATTGCATGAATTTTCAAAAAATTACCAAGTATTTCGCTAAAGAATTTTGATTTCTAATTTAAAAGTATAACGATTTTAATTCAAGTATTTGAAAAGCGTCTCTCGTAAATGTTTTTAAGATTCGTCTGATAGAATTCGTAAATTGGATGTAAAAGAGAGGGCGAAGAAAAAAAAAACTTACATGGAGCATCTCTGATGGTGACTGATGAGGAGTTTTCCCTTTGGTAAGTCGCGGAATTTGAAACGTTGGCAAGGGCTAATTTACTTTGGTATAACTCGTGGAGTCGAGCCAATTGATCGAACTTGTGCCTGCTTTCCTGTTCCAAAAAGTCTTCGTGATCGAAATAAGGCCGCGGTAACATTCCCATTCCCACTGGCAATTGATATTGAGGTCTATATCGTTCAGTGTCCGACATCACCGACATTGAATCTGTAAAAAAAATTTCCAATTTTTATAGTTTCTCCTGAAGTAAAATACAAAAAAAAAAAAGAGACACATAAGAATTAAATTGGAAAAGCAGAAGAGAAATTCGTAGGAGAGTAAAGAGAAATAAGATAAAAATAAAAGAAACGACGATGAGTGAAGAAGTGGAAAGGGGTCTTGTATTGGCTTTGCTACTTTGAGAGCGCGTGTCGACAAGTAATTACATCCCAACTTGGAGAATATGATTGTTTCTCGTAAAGAAGAACATTTACTGAAAGGTTCAGAATATGAGGTTGAATTGAGTTTTGTGCGGTAAATAAATTACTGTCTTTTGAGAATAATATAAAAAGTTAGTTAGAGGAAAACTTTTCTTTTATTGTTAAATTGAATTTTAAAATGGAATTTTAGGAATTTTAATATAAAATTTTTAAATTAAATATTGATAATCTTACCGGTGAATGTTGATACAACGGTGAGATTTTCCTGACTTAGTATCCTGAGTGGATGTTCTTCTTGATCACTTTCGGGTAAAGGATTTTCTCCCATGCAGAGTGCAATGTCCTCTTCTGTAACTTGAAGACAAGAATCTTGCATTGGAACAGGCTCGAGATCTTCAACTTCGACAATTTCCAAAATCTCGTCTTCTGAAGACAATGAATGTCTGGACGGTAGAACGATATCTTTATGAGAGAGATTTAAACTTTCCATGGAAACTTCGCGACTTACGCCATTGCTAAGAGGTTCTATTAGAGGCAATGGCGGAGGAACGACAATTTCTTCATCATCATCTTCATCATCATGAACATTGAGTTTACTACGAGAATTATCAAGTATTGGACTTGCAGTTAAATCGAGTCCAGAATCAGTGTTGGATTTTACATTAAGAAGATTTAATTTAGCTCCTAATTTTTCGGTTATATCTTCAATTTCACTTGCCTTTATACTTTCGCTCTCTATTGTTGATAATGATGTTTCATCATCGTCGATATTTTTTGATAATTCTTTAAATTGTGATGATTGTCCAATTTTAGAATCATTTCGGGAATTGTATTTACTTCTTTGAATTTGTGATGATTGATTCTCCACCCATTTTCTAATCATACTCTTTTTATGACTGTCCATAAAACCATAACCAGAGTGTTGTTGATGAAGAGATGTTGTTAATTGCATTGGACCATCTATCCAGGTTTCTCTCTTGTGATGTGAGTCTTTTAATAAGTGTCTTGCTTCGGCAACTTTGGATTTTGAGATTCTTGGTCCATCGATCCATTGTTCATCTGAACCACCAGTTGTAACAGCAACGGGAATTTTACTATTTGGAGAATCAGCATTTTTTGATGCTGAAGCCTTTGTGGAATTAATTTTTCTCGCAGGACTCGCTTTGGGTGTTAAACTGTGAGCAGGTGATGTTTGTTTTGATGCTGTTTGAGTTAATGCTTTCACTGCTTTAGTTGCTTTATGAGCTGGACTTCTTTCTTCGGCGATTTTATTTGGTCTTTCAGCAGCTGAACCGCGTAGAACTCGACCCATTGCACATCGATTATCACCTGAATTTAGACTAGGAATATAAACAGGAGGATGTTCACCGTCAGTTGCGTCATCTGTACTTGGACCAACGTAAATAACAGTATCAGCTGAAAGATCACTTGAACTTGGATCACATTCACTATTTTGTCTAGCAGCTTCTTCACCTGAACTACCACCACTTCCTGTACCCTGTCCATTATTTCCAATGAATTTAATTTTCCTCCGCCTCATACGATGTATTCTCGATGCTAATTGAACTGTTGTTAGGGTTTCGCTGTATTGTTGTGAATTTGGTGAGACATGTGCTATCATTGCCGCGTGACATGTTAATGATCCAAGGCATTCTTTGAGCAATTGAGTTAGTTTGTGCTCTTTATAGGGCAAATGTTTTTGCCCATTAAAAATTGCTATAAGAATGTTTCCCAGACCTGAGAGTGGTATTCCTCCTGATGATTTCCCTCGATCCGAGTTTCCTAGATCCATTAGATGTAGCCTACTTCTACCTCCAGCGACTGAAATAGTCAATTTTAAATAATAAACCGGTTTCAAAAAAATAGGAAAGTTAGTTTTTTTTTATTATTTACCTCCGCCTTTACCGGCAACACTGTACTGATACACGTGAAGAGTATAAAGCATATGAGTATCGCCTTCTCGTTGACGACCAGCAACAGCGGCATCAAGATAAAAAGCTGCTCGTTCCGCAGTCGGAGCACGAAGTTCACTGTGCTGTTGAAGTTGCAAAGTCCCGAAAAGAGGATCATCCCTTAAATATACAGCTGGCGATTGCTCAGAATCTGGGGAAAAAAAAGTTTCAAAATAATTTCTCTTTTTTTAAACTTTCGCTTAGTTTGATCAGTTTTTTTTCTCTCTCTCTCTGTATTTATTTAAAATAAGAATTATGGTTATTAATTTTTTTTTACATATTAGAGATGCGACTTAATTTACAAGAGAAAATTGGCAAGTTTAGAACCATTAAATTTCAAGTTTATAAGAACGCTGAAGGGTTGCACAATTTAAGAGTTCATTCTCTTATGATCGTATCCCTCGAGAAATAAGGAAAGATCGTGATCGTAAATCGGTCGACGACGTCCTCTTATCTTTAATGTCCCTTTTCTTGAAATACGAGGGGTGGGGTGATAAAATGTAGAAAGATACGGTTATCCGTTACAACCCGTAAGAAACGAGCGATCGGTGTAATCAACGTAATGTGGAATCTAGTTGTAAATAGTCATCAGTATAAAAGCGTAGCTAATAAACGCTACTACTGATGCACACAGGTAATCTTGTCGTAAAAGTCGCAGACACGAAGATATTTACTTTTATAGGGTCGCGTTCGCACATGTGGCCAATATTTGATATATAAATAAAATGATAACAGATAATTTCAAAAAGAAGTTCAATATTTTATTTCATTTGATTCAAATAAATTTTGATATTCTTTTAATTACAGAATTTAATAAAGTTCTTTTTTTTAAATTAAAATTTAGATTCTTGATGAGAATTTAGAAAGGAAAATTTGATAAGTTGTGTATAAATTGTTAAATTAGGGGAATATTAAAGTTTAAATTCCCATAAGAGAAGATCTAAAGGTAATATTTTTAAACGCTTCGTAGAGGAACTATATAATTAAAGAAGGGTGAACGCACCAACCCCATAGTATTATACGCCATGATCTTCCAACAATTTCAAATAAAAGTGAAGCGCGCAGAACAAAAGTAAAGAAGAGTCGTCCCTCTTATGATGGTTTCTTTAATTGCTCCTGTGAAGTTGATGCGTAACGTTGCTCGTAAAAGTTATAAAATGCTCAGTAGAGATGGCGAAGAAAAAAAAAACCCCTCCCCACCCCCGCGAAAGAAAAGAAAAAAGAACGGGAGAGGTTTTTAAAAAAAGGGAGGCAAAAAGTTAGATTTTATACAAAATAAATTTTATTTTTAAATTAAAAGAAATCTAGATAAGATAATTAAAGGTTATTCAATAACATTTGATAAATTTTTAATTAATTTATATTAATATTAAAAAAAGTTAAGTTTTATAAAAAATGGGAACACTTTTTAAAATTGATTTTTAATTGTCTGACGTGTGATTAATTTAAATTATATATATTTTTGTATTACAAATCAGTGTTTTATTATTTCTTAAATTATTTCATTTTTCATTATCGTAATAATTGAACAATTAACATTGAATGTCTATAAAAATTAAATATAATTAAAATTAAATTTTTCCAATATCTTTCGAAATATCGTTTTTTAATTTCACTTAAAAAACAATGTTCAATTAAATCACCTCTTTCTTTAGATTTAAAGTTATTTAATATTTAACGTATTTTTTTTTTATAAAATTTAATTGAAACAGAAATTATTAAATGACTTTTAATTATCAACTAAATAATTTAAATTCAAATTGAAATAGTTTTTAAAATATTATTTTGTTTATGTTTAATTAGTAAGTGGCTTTTAGACAATAAAATTCAACTGAAATTTCACTGTCTATTGACATTTTTGTTGAAAAGAATTGCACTTAATAAAAAAGAAAAGAAAAGAAAAAAAAAATGTGATAGGATATAAAATGTGAAAGACAAGGCCAATATTTTCGCCAAGTAGCTTTTCTTCCCACTTTTGCGGAGTGGCATTCCCTGCGTGTGGTCTTAAATGGCAGAGTGCGTGTTACTATGACTCTGTGTGGCAATATCCATAAAGGGGACAAGAGGAAGTAATATTACCGGCATCTGTGACTTCTCCAAAAAGCATAAGGAAGAAGAGAAGCCGTTATCAGACGAACGATGATTTTAGAAAATAAAAGAAAGAAAATTTCCCCTTGAAAATCTTAGAAATAGAAATAAATACAATATATTTTATATATATATTATAGATACTGCCCCTGCATACAGGCAACCTGTCTTTCATAAGATTTAACCGAATTGCATCGTGAAGGAGTGAATCTTGTTTTTTTTTTTTGCGAATACATATATGTAGAAAATTTGTTTCAGTGACATTGACATTGAAAAAATTATATTCTAAATTTAAGATTATATTTTCATTGGCGCCTATTTAAGTATATTTCGTATTTATTCTTACAGTTAGATTATAATATTCTTAAAATAACAAACACTTGTTAAATTAAAATATATTTTACAGACAAAAGAAAAAATTTTTAATTTAAGAAATGTTTCTTATTTTAAGAATATTATATTTTAACCCCTTCGCAGTCGAGGCCAAAATCTCATAAGTGGGCCCAAAATGTCAGTAAATTTTTGAATGACCAAAATTTGTGCAAATGTGTATACTATGGTATTTAAGGTCGCTGATTACGATTCCAAAGTCAGATTTTAAAAATTCAAAATGGCGGAGCCAATATGGCGGACAATTTTTTAAAAAATGGCAAAAATGATTTAAAAATACTTAAAAATTGTTACTCGGGGGTTTTTGGGGTCGCTGATTACGAATCTAAAGTCAGATTTCAAAAATTCAAAATGGCCGAGCCAATATGGCGGACAATTTTTCAAAAAATGGCAAAAATGATTTAAAAATACTTAAAAATTATTACACAGGGGTTTTGAGGGTCGCTGATTACGAATCTAAATTCAGATTTCAAAAAATTTAAAATAGCATAAATATGGGTGTGATTATTATTGTATCAATTTTGAATTTTGAAATTTTGTAATTCTGACATCAAATTCGGAATCAGCGATCCCAAAAAACCCTCGAGTAACGAGTTTCAAGCGAATATGGTCAATTTTCAAAATTTTTGTTCGCCATATTGGATCCGCCATTTTGAATTTTGTAAATCTGACATCAAATTCGGAAGCAACCACCCCAAAAATCCCCGAGTAACAAATTTTAGGCCAATTCCGTCTTATTATTCGGCTCAAAATTTATGTGCGTGTATACAAGTCATCGACACTTTGAGCCCACCTATTCCACCCAAGGGGTTAACTGTAAGAATAAATTGCATGGAAAATAATCTTAAATAGGCGCCAAGAAGATATTCTTAAAATTAGGATATAATTTTTTCAGTGCAGAAATAAATTTTAGTTTTTCATTATTAAAATGAATGCGAAAATACGTTGTAGTATAATAATAATAATAATAATAATAATTTTAATGGAGAAATCACGTGAAATTTATATTATGCGCAAATGGAAAATATAACAAAACATCTTGTCATTCTGTCATGTGCTATGCGTCTACATGGAATATAATGTGCAAATACAAGAAAATGTGTCAGAGTGTTTTTTCTTGTATATACATATATATATATATATTTTTCTCTTTTTCCCCATTTTGGAATCCGCTAAAAGCTGCGCGCACGAGCGATGATGTTTTATTTTGCACTCTCACGCGAATGAAACAAGAATGTAAAACAATAACCGTATAGTGAGTGAGAAAGAGTAAGAGAGAGAGAGAGAGAGAGACATGAGCACACGCGAGAATTATTATGCACACCCCCTGGAGGATAAAGAAAAATGTGAAGTATGCCAGTACGAGAAATTCTTTCCTTATGATAATCCAAACAGATCCATTATATTTATTATATTCTGGTCACAGAGTATGAGAATTAAATTTTTTTTCTGGTCTTTGAAAAAATTTCAATTTTTGAAACATTTTTTTATTTTTGTCGCTTTAATTTTGCAAATCAAATGAGTATTAAGTTTTTTAATTAATTTTTCGTCAATATTGGGTAATATATACCTATATATATATATATAACTGTTTGAAATTTTAATTTAAATTTTCTTGAGGTTTATAAATCGTGTAGAAAAATCAATTAACGAAGACTTAGTGTTTGGAGAAGCTTTAGGATAAAGAGAAAGACGTGAATATTCAAAAGCCAGGTTCGACAATAAGGGATTATCTGGTTTATAGTCAAAAAGTCCCTTTTCTTCCATGGAGCCATTCTAGAAATCCGGGCGGTGAAAACTTTAAATAATTACTGGTAGGATTAACAACTTTAGTTTCTCAAGGGAAAGCAGAAGACACTTTATAAATCCTGGGACTTGAAGTTCGTTGGAATCGGGTGTGTATAGTGTATAAGTAAGAGGGAGAGAGAGAGAAAGAGAGAGAGTGGGGGGGGGGTGTAAAGTGTGAGTGAGAGATTTTCAACGAACGCGGGACGATTCTCAAGACACGAGTTAATTATTTAATAAGCTGGAAAATTAATTGCATCGCCCTTTAATTAGTTTCGGGTTCGTCGTTCGAGGGGGAAAATGTCGTCCACGATTTTCTTCATGAACGCTCATAAATGCCAAGTTGCGATTGTGGGTTTACTGTACAATTAGAATAGTTTTTATTTGTTATGAAAACACAGATCAAAGTGGTTTTTTTTTTCTCTTGAAGACTTGATTTGTTTTTCTTTTTTTAAATTTGAATTTCACTTGAGAGAATAAAGTATTTTTTTTTTTTTGGGATGTCGAATTTATAGTCGATGAGCAAATATCTGGAAGAACGACGACGAGTCCTCTTTCTCTCTTCGAGACAGTTATTTGGGCAGGAATCCGCTGAAATTCCGTATGCTTTCCTATATCAGCCGCAATTTGGTTTTGCCAACGTTTCACGGACCGTCGAGTTGGCGAGGTGGTCCGTAAAATTGAGAGTCGAGATTATTGTCCTTTACATTTTTTTTTTTTTCTTTTACCGTTATTTTCACAAAAAAAAAATTCTGAAAGACTTGTGCTAGACTAATAAAGAGTTTACTCGCGATGTATAAGGGGCACTTCATTGAAGGGATGCGAAATTAGGCTCCATATTTTATAAATCTTCCACTTCGATGAGATATTAAATTAAATATATTTACACTGAAAAAATTATATTCTAAATTTAAGAATATCTTCTTGGCGAGAATATATCTTATTTAAGATTATTTCATATGCATTTTATTTTCTTGAAAGTTAGAATATATTTTTAAAATAAGAAACATTTCTTAAATTAAAAATTTTTTCTTTTGTTTGTAGAATATTTCTTAATTTAAGAATTGTTTCTTATTTTAACAGTATTATATTCTAACCATGTTTGAAACTATATTGATCTTTTATTGTTAAAAAAGAAAAAGGGTTTGTTTTTTTGATCCTCACGCCAATCTAATATTACAACTGAACTAATTATATTCTAACTTTAAGAAAATAAAATGCATGGGCGCCAAGAAGATATTCTTAAATTTAGGATATAATTTTTTCAGTGATATACGAAATTTCTACACGGAGAAAAATGGAAAAAGTAATTTTTACTATACTTTAAAAGTAAAACCGGAATTGTCCACAGTTTCTGTGCATTTCTGTCAATTTTTACTCCAGAAATAGTAAAATTTACTATTTCCAGAATAATTTTTACTATTTCATAAGTATAAATTTAATACTATTTTTGGAGTAAAAATTGACAGAATTGCGCAGAAACTGTGGACAGTTTCGGTTTTACTTTTAAAGTATAGTAAAAATTACTTTATTTATTTTTGCATTCTTTTCCATGTAATTTTAAGAAATATAAATAAATTTAAAAATAGAATTGTGACTATTCTTATAGAATAAGTATATTTTTATTTTTGAAAATTGCGTACAGCTTTTGTTCATTTTTGCAATATGATGCGACACATTTCAGTAATAACCGCAGTACTTGGTTCTAATTAATCCAAACGATTATACCAGTCAGTATTATTCGAGGCACGAAATTAATTGTGGGAAGCGTTGTATTTGCGCTTATAATCGTTAACCGTACCAATGTTGTATAGAGACTTCCTAGAAGCAAAAGGGGGATGTAAAGTTCGTCTACTACGTTGTACAATCTGCATGCTATTGCACAACCTTCTCCGCATAGGACCCTTAAGTCTCTTAGTAGCAGTGGAGTATATATACCTATATATTTAGTTGCAGAAACAAGTGCTTCCAAAGAAGGGTTTATTTTTTTCTTTTTCTTCAGATAAAAAAAAAGTCAATTCAAAGACAATTTCAATTATATCTTTTATTGATTTTAAATTAGAATTTATTAGCGTTTTTAAAGAAAAATAGTTACCATTTGCGTAGGCTGCTAATAAATCTTTTAATTGTTGTTGTCCAGCTGATAATTCAACACAGCTGACTCGCACACTAAATCTTGCACCTGTCCTTTGTCGTTGTTCAGAAATTCCACGAAAAAGCCAAGTTATTGCACATGGAATAGCACCTAAGGTGTGACCCGCTTCGGGAGTTCCCAACATTGTATGAGTTTTTCCTGAAACAATAAAAAAAACCAAAAATACAATTTTTGTTTTAAATGATTCGATTTTTTTTTTCTATTTTCGTCTTTAAAACGAAAATTTGGAAACAATTGAGTGTTGTAAGTTCGTTAGAATAGGGAGTTGACTGATGGAATAATGGCAATATTTGATTTGTGGTATGCTGGACGATTAATTTGTTTACAGTTTGCTAGATGCGCGGATATATATATATAAAGTAGATGAAACCCGTGGGATAACATTGGTATTTTGGACCACAATGGTTTAGAGTGATAAACGAGATTTCAAACAGGAATGCGACAATGAATCGATATATCATCGATGCAAGAACAACAGGTTTACGAGGCAGTTAATATCAGATTCAAAATTATAATAAACAAAATTTTGAAAAAAAAAAAAAATTTTTTATGGAACAAAATTTAAAGAAGCGCATGAGATTATTCCATAAAAATTATTAGTCACAATTTTCATTTTAAAGAATTTTATCGTAATTTGTTTTTTTTAAACAAATTTTCATTCTTTGAATTACATTTTTCATAATTCGAAAAATGAAATTTCGTTAAAAAAAACAAATTAGGATAAAATTCTTTAAAATGAAAATTGTGACTAATAATTTTTGTAGCACAATCATGCATTTTTATCATTATTAAATTTGTTTTTTTTATAAAGGTTGTGATAACTTTTTTTTTTGTTTTTAAAAGCAATTTCTTTTTTTTTCGAGACCTAAACAGAAAATTGATAACGAGACAAAAGGGGCGGGTGACTTTATTAATATCGTAAAACAAAGAGAAATGGAAAGTAAAGGAAACGACGTGGAATCAGAGGTGGTCGAGGGTAGCATAACAGAAATAATGGAAAAGCCGAGAGCAGACGTTGAATCTTAAGTGATATTTAATTTTCGCAGTGTAAGACGTTGAATTATGTTATTATTTAATTAGAAAGCTGGAAAAGGGCTGCGTCATCGCCGCGGGTCAGTTTCAAATGAACCGCATCCAATGACAAAAGTTCTCCATTTATACTTTTAAAACTTCTCAAAACTGAATCACGACTTTTATATATATATATAACTTCTGCTTCCTTACATTAATACAATGGTTCAAAATTTAATAAAGAAGTCGTAAAAATATGTTTACGAATACTTCTTTATTAAATACATTTATGCATTATTGTACTTTACTTTTTTAAGATTTTATTTTAGAATATTTATAAAAAAAATGCAGCATTTTCTGTATAATTTAACTTTACAAAAAGTAAAAAAATTTTATATATATTTATTTATTTTGACGTGACGTGTCTTACTTCGAGGTTTTATATTATTGAATATACTCTCTACACCGAAAAAACGGTATTCTAGTTTTAAGATTATTATTTTCTTAAAAAAATATTCTTAAAAATATTCTTAAAATATTCTAGTTTTAAGAATGTTATATTCTTACATAAATATTCTTAATAATATTCTTAAGCAGATTCTAACTTTAAGAATATTTTCTATGTACTAAATCTTCTTCTTCTTAAAACAAGAATATGCGCTAGAATTGACGTGCTGCTAGCTTGTTCGCGTCGCCATTGACTAACGAGTCGTCGTGCGCGTCGGAGTGTTTTTTTTTTTTGACAATCATAGTAAACTTCAAAAGTATTGTTCTCTACAATTTTAATAATTGTTGTTTAGTTTTAATTTTTCACGTTTAAAAATTTATAAAAAAAATATTATTGCGTTTCTTAATCTTATCTACGTAATTTACTCTCTAAATCTGAATTAGTAAAAATGTTTACTAATTTAAATTAGTGACTCACTTTTTGCTTTAGAATTAGTTAAATTTTACTAATTGTTAGTAAAAGTTACTAATAATTAGTAAAATTTTACTAATTGAGAAGCAAAAAGTGAGTCACTAATTGAAATTAGTAAACTTTTTTACTAATTCAGATTTAGAGAGTAAGTTTTTGTGATTCCAAATTGAAAAAAATGTTCGACAATTGGTTAACATTGTCTTTAAGTATTAAAATTGTGTTCTTTTTTGAAAACTTTAATAAAAGTAATATTTTTAAAATAAAAATGCTGTACTTTTTCTTTATTTGAAATTATGTATATTTTGGTTTAAAATTAAGTATTTACTATTCTTAAATTAAGTTTATAGTATTCTTAAAACTGCTAAAAGTATATTTCTTGATACTCTCTAAATCTGAATAAGTGAAATTTCACTTAAAATGTGTCAAAAGTCTTCCACGTAGAAAAATAAGTGTATATGCACTTTTAAATAAGTGGTTTTCACTCAAAAATAAGTGAAGTTTCACTTATTTTTAAGTGCATATACACTTATTTTTCTACGTGGAAGACTTTTGACACATTTTAAGTGAAATTTCACTTATTCAGATTTAGAGAGTACAAGAAGAAAATATACTTATTTTAAGATTATATTCTAAAAAAGTGATTCTAAGAAAATATTCTTAATATAAGGATTCTATTCTTAATTTAAGAATATATTCGTGGCGCCTATTTAAGTCTCGCATATTCTTAAAATAAGTTGAAAATTCTTAAAATTAGAATATCGTTTTTTCGGTGTAAATCTAAATAAGTGAAATTTCACTTAGAATATGTTTCAAAAGTCTTCCACGTAGAAAAATAAGTGACTTTCACTCAAAAATAAGTAAAATTTCACTTATTTTTCCAAGTGGAAGACTATTTAAACTTTCTAAGTGAAATTTCATTTATTCAGATTTAGAGAGTAGTAAAACAGGAGAGTCTAAATATATTTAATGTTATAATCATGTGTCTGGTTATATATTTCCCTTCTTTTATTATAGAAATTTCTGTTTGACATGTGTTTTCGGTTATCGCTACATGCATATAATAACTAGATCGAAAGGGTATTTTGTTTCACGATGCGTAGCAAATTTATCACCCTTTTTCGTCTAAATGTCGCTGCGAACGTTATGCTTTTCTCGACATTATCGACATATTTCCAAAAAGCCTATGTGTATTTCATGTTGATGGAACTGAACTTTTTTTTTTTCAATACGATTTTTCATTCAGTTTGATAAAATGAATTTTCATTTGGTTTCTTTTTCTCATGTGATATTTATAAATATTATCACAATTTTCCCATTTAAATATGTAAAGAAGTTTTGTTTTTAAAACTCAGTTTAGGGAGGGGGAAAAAAAAGGATGGCAATCAAACAAAGGTTTGTAATCTTGAAAGTAGAAGCCCATTTTTGTCAGTCATAGTAGTGAATTTTTTCTTCTTTTTTTTTTAAATATATATATATATATATATATATATATATATATATAAACCATCTACATCAGGAATAGTGTGTCAAAGAGGTAGATTTTCAAAGCAACGGGATTTGTCACATAGAAAATCTGAAAAGGAAACGAGAGTGTCTCACACACAAGCGTGACAATACGCTCGTTTGTACTTTGCAGCGCGTCGCTAATTACCCCACAGCGAACAGCCCCTTAGCATCCCGAAAACCCACCCTCTTACCCCCTTTCCCCCCACCACCGCCCCCTTTTGGTTGCCAAACCCTTTCGGCTTGGTGGCGTACGGTATGAGATAAACCGACAGTGCGGACTGTCGGTCCGTCTTTGTACCTGGGGTAAACGTGTCAGCTCGCGAGAGAGCGAACGCGCGCGCAAGATCGTCCCTTTGTATCACATAATTTATCCCGCGACTGCACGCGAACAAAAGAGACATTAGCAATAAACGCCCTGGGATTTATGCACCGCCACCAAGCTAAATCCCGTCGATATATATTCCCTTAATTGCATCCCACAATACACCTATTTCCGTTAATAAACTTTAAAGCCACGCACTCTAATAATCAACCACTTGGAATTCAATATTAAATTAACCTTTGACCTTTTCATATTATACGTATTGGATATTGTCTTTGAATTTAATTATTTTTTTTTATTTATATTCCCGAATATCATGCCACACACTGTAAAAAGAAGGTACTAAAATAGTACCGATTTTAGGTATTAAAATAGAACCAAAAGGCAATTTAGTACCTAAAGTTGGTATTAATTTAATACCTCTCGTTTTACAGTGCAATATTGCAGCAATATTTCATGTCTATATTGCGAATATTGCACGGCAATGTTGCAGAAATATTTGGAATATAAAAATGAAATATTGTGACAATATTTGATAGGGTATGCACAAAAGTTTTTCGATTGGCTGTTTTTTTTCCCCGTATCTTCTATTTCCGGAAAGCGTGGGGCATTATTTACGGGCACGATCATCTGGCGTTTCAAGCTGACATACACACACACATACGCTTTGTTTTTTGTTTTTAAAGAGAGGAATCGTGTTCGCGCGTACACATTTGCGGAAATTCATATAGAACAACCTGCAGAATTTACACGTTTTACGAGGGCAGGGTTGCGACACCGATCTCTGAAAGCACGCGTTGACAGACAGAGGACAATGAGTGCAATGAGCTTATGAATTTTCCCAGTCGCGTTCGTTGCTTGTAATCCTGAGGACGACGTGCAAATGCGTTCCATTTGTTCATTTTTTTTTGTTAGGTGCATCTTTTTTTTTATTCGTCATAAAATATATTTCATATATTTATATTGAAAATAATATTTGGTTTTTATGGAGTTTATGAAATTTAGTACAGGGGTGTTATTCTGTAACTTGACTTGACTTTCACTTCACTTTCACTTTACTTTCACTTTACTTTCAAATACTTTCACTTCACTTTCAATTCACTTTACTTTCACTTCACTTTCACTTCACTTTGCAAGTGAAACTAGAGTGAAAGGGAAATTGAAGTGAAGTAAAAGTAAAGTGAAAATGAAGTGAGAGTGAAAATGAAGTATAAGAGTGTAGTGAAAGTAAAGTGAAAATGAAGTGAGAGTGAATTGAAAGTAAAGTATGAAGGTGAAGTCAAGCTACAGAATAACACCTCAGACCAGGGTTGCCAGATTGGGCGGTTTCCCGCCAATTGGGCGGATTTGAAGACTCAATTGGCGGGTAAAAATTGGGTTTTGCGGTAAACCGCTAATTGGGCGGTTTTAATGATAGTACCCGCAAATTGGGCGATATTGCTGTATATCATAAATTTGCCTTATGTCTTATGTCTGTCAGGCTCTGGCTCGCTGCCTGTCTGCATGCAAGCGCAGGCGCTGTAATAAAGTACTCAAAACCCGGTGAATCTACCTTTAGGTTGCTAAAGCTTTTTGCGCCTAACCAAAGACATTATAGATCAGCTGTTCTAATTGTAACGACTTCTAAGTTCATGGCCTATACGAAGCCGGCGCGCCGTTCACATGTGATTGTAGTATGTAAATAATTTAAACGTTAGTCGCGCACACTTGCATTTGTTTTATCATATTAAATAAAAATAGAACACACGGGAAAATGAAATACAATTATATCGTTCATTAATATAAAATAATGCATTTGTGAGGACTGTAAATAAAATTTATAATTTTGTCATTTTGTACATACACGTAGGTTGGTTGCAGAGAACGCCTGAAACCTTAGTGCATTTGGGCAAAGGGGAAGCTTATTGTAAACTATGTAAATCTACGCTTCGACCTCAAAAAAAAATAATGTTTTTTAGTATATATAATTTTATATAAAATTATAAATATACAGTATATTTAAAAAAGTGGCGGTTTTTTCCTGTACTATTGGCGGGTCGGTCGCGGAAGAATCTGGCAACCCTGCCTCAGACTTAATTTCTTTTAAAATTAGGTATAGCAATTATTTTTTTCTTCATTACAATTATTATTAAACGGAAAAAAATTTTTATCTGAAATAGCGATATGTTTCACTAGAAAAGAGAAAACTTTCACTGTTTTAGTTGAACATATCGCTGTTCCAGTGAAACTTATTGCTATTTCAGGTAAAGATTTTTTTCCATGTAAATTTTTTTTTTTTATTATACTAACTTTTTGTTTAAAATGAAAAAAAAATGATTCTTCAAAGGTAAATTTTTACGATTCCGTATGTTTCAAAAAGGGTGGAAGTAGTAGGAATTTTATTTAGAGCTTTTTGCGAGCGTTTGCAATTTTTTTTTTTGCTCTTTCTCTCTGTCTCTGTTTTTTAGTAGAAGTTTCCAAGGGAGGCTTTATCGCCCCCTTTCTCTTTCTTAGTTTGCGCGGGCGGACGGAGGAATACACAGAGAGACACGGAGTTGTTTTACATTTTAAGTAGTGATATCGAGTTTGCATGCAAATGCATGATTACACGGGGGAGAGGCAAAGGACGTTGTCGTCAGAGCCAGTGAAGAGATGGAAAGGAAGAGAATCGAGTATATATATATATAAGGTACAAGAAGAAGGAAACCCTGAAATAGAAATGAACCGAGGGAAAGTAAATTATGCTATCGGAACACGCTCCCACTTACTTAGCGCACATATTTTATTCGAAATCGAATTCATGCCAAATATGAAATCGCGATTCAACTCACTTCATACTTCCATCAAAAAAAATTTTTTTTTTCTTAATTCGATTTGAAATCCGCAATTTATTTTATTCTTTATGTAATTTTCTCACATGGAGTAATAAATTTATTATTATAAGGGAAAAAAGAAAAAATTTACGATAATTTTTTTTAACTTGACTAAAAATAAGAGGGTGGGAAAAAAAAGTTTCATGTAAACTAAGTGTGAAAAGTCAGTTTATGCGTATTTTTATGCAAATAGGGATCATTTTAAACAATGGCTTTTTCACCCTCGCTGTCGGATTTTTTTTTCTTCAAGTGTGCGGAGAATAGCCTAGATCTATATCTCACATTCTTAAGATATCTTCCTCTCATTATGAAAAAAGCTTCAATTGAGAAATATCTAGAACGGGGACGTTAAAAAAAAACTTATCTTTTGCTCTACTTTTCTAGGCGATATTTCCATTTTTATTTCGTCGTCATTTTTCATTTTTCTTGTTTTTCATTCGTATTACTTTTTTTTCCCCTCGATTTTGTATTCTCTTTATATGTATGTATATATATGAAAAGAATCTTTTTCAAACCGACTTTCGTCCTCGCTTTGCTGACATGCCATTAAGAGCTTCCTCTACTGAAATCAAACCTTTTAGATTCAATGAAGTTGGACGATTGAATCGTAAGGAATTGCAAAGCAGCGTTGACACAATTTTCTTTCGCTTCTGTTCCCATGAATCAGATACGATTTCTATTATTTGACTCAAGGATTATCTGATTGAAATAAGAATTTTCTTTCAAAGAAAAGAAACTTTTATTTTAATAGAAGAATTAAAAAAAAAATATTGTTTAAGTAGCATTTATTTTGAATAATTTTTAATATAAGAAAGATAAAAACAAGACACTCACCGAGACCAGCGTGTCCTAAACAGAACAAGCAGCCGTCTGTTCCATTGATTACAGCATGGATGACATCTGTGAGAGCGCTCGAGCAAATTTCCGTCTGTAAAAGACACCAAAATTAAAAAAATGTAATTAGTTTATTTATTTTTTTTTTGTTTTGTTTGGATAGAGTAAAAAAAAATTGTTTTTTAAAATAAAATAATTTTCTAATTTCAACGGTAATCAAGTTTGGCAATATATCTAAAGGGTTAACTGTATATGACATGATGATTAATTTACAAGAAGCGGCAACCCTTAAGAAAATAGAAGTGCAAGAACGGGTAGATTGGCTTTGTTTGTGCCTAATATATTCATAGGTATCGTGTCTTTCTAGAGTCAAAGAACCATTTCCTTTACTACCTTCGTCCCTTCGAATACCCCTATTGAGAAGCTGCGGTTAAGGGTTGTTTCATCGGGTTTAACTATCGGCTCGGGCGTTGCAGCGATCCTCGAGATTCGACAAAGCTATCGGGGGGTGCAAATCAAGTGGCTGTGGAGAGAGAAAGAGAGAGAGAGAAAGAGACTGTATCCGAATTTTCAACTCAACAAGCCGTGCATCAATTCGTCGTATCGAAGGGATAAAATGTTAGCTCGGCAAATTGTTTGATGTGTCAGTAATTCTATATTAGGATGATTAAACTCAAAATTTAAATAAAGATAAATCAAGTTTCTAAAGATCTCTAAAGTGATAGATAGAAAGAAAAAATTTTTAATTTTCATTCTGTATGAAAAAAATACCAATTGACTAATTTTGAGTATTCGTTAGACTTTAAAAATTAATTTTAAGACTAGCGATGTATTCCTCGCTCGCTAACGCTCGCTCGGTTAAAATTGTACTTATTGTTGTTTACTTATTGTAGTTCATGTATATTATATATATAATTTATGTTTTAAATTAATATCTTATTAATATTGTATAAAATTTATCTTAATTTTGATCACTTTCATTAAAGGATGAAATGACAATTGTTAAATATTAGATATTTTTTATTATAATTATGACAACAATATTAATTATATTATATTATAATATATTTTTTTTATCGTAAATTGTATTATATTATATTATATTGATGTAAATTATCCCACAAACACATGTAGATTTATTATACTGTTCATATCGCCTATAAGAGGAAAAATACACATTTAAAAGAAGAAAATATATAAAATATGATCTAGCAATAACCAAAATTTTAGAATGGCTGCGCTGAATAGTAACGGCTGCGCTATGAGAAATATATATATATATATATATATATATAATTAATATTATAATGATCATATCACCTAGAAGAGAAAAAAACACATTTAAAAGAAGAAAATATATAAAATATGATCTACCAATAACAAAAATTTTAGAATAGCTGCGCTGAATAGTAACGGCTGCGTAACATAAAGAAAATAATATAATAAATTATAATAATTTATTAATAACATCACTCATATAAAACTAAATTCTAAAAAATTAATTTAAAAATTAATAAGAAATAAAACAACAAAGTATTTTGATTTATTTGAAAATAATTGAAAATAGATTTTTCAAGGACGGTGTCGAGGTCACGGTGTCGTTTTTCGAAATTTGTTAACTTAATATAATAGAAGATGTTTCGTTTTAAATTAAGAAATGTTAAAATTATTAAGTTAAAAACATTTGATTTTAATGACACTTAAAATTAGACACAATATTATAGGTTACTAACTAAAAATTGAAAAAACAACAATAAATAATAAAAAATAATAATAAAAAATTGAAAAAATTCTTAAAAAATTGCAAAATAACCCTTTTTCGGGTTAAAATTGAAAAAAGATGTTACATAAAAATAGTTTGTAAGATTTTCTAAAAGCATATATGCAAAGTATTTTGATTTATTTGAAAATAATTGAAAATAGATTTTTCAAGGACGGTGTCGAGGTCACGGGGTCGGTGTCGTTTTTCGAAATTTGTTAACTTAATATAATAGAATATTTTTAAATACTTTCGATAAATATAAAATAAATTACTATATACCTATCGAAAAAGTGTTTAAATATCTTAAAATTAATTTTTAAATTCTAACAAATATTCAAAATTAGTATTTTTTTCATACAGAATTAAAATTCTAGGGCTACAAGATTCAAGGCCTTAGTTCAAACATAACCTCAAAATTCAAGGGTCATAGGTCAAACATAACCTTAAAATTCATCAAGGGACCGTTGGGTTTGATGTTATGTCCGAGAAACAACTTTGTATTCCCTTAACCAAGAAACGAACATAACCACAAATTTATTTAATCGAAACTCTTCAATATATTGGAATTCTCGATATTTTTCTCTTTGAAGAATATATAAAGAGAGTAAAGAATGAAAAAAAAAATAGTAAATCGCATGTGTAGAGAAAGTGATGATACCACAGGCCAAATAAGATTGAAATCTTTGCGGACGAGGATTCTATGAGGACAAGATGGAAAAGGAGATGAAAGCCGAGAGCATCCAGGATGAGTCCGTGGTTTCTGGGTCGGAGGGAGGTTTAAAAAAAAAAAAAGAAGGTGAAAGGCAAATGTAAGAGGGAGATGAGTGAGAACGAAGTGTAGAGTTTGTTGGAGGAAAGGGAAATAAGAAGTCCAGTCCTTTTTCCCTGATATGGTAATTCCAATCTGTCGTTGGCATTTCAAATGGGGAGAGGGGGTTGTTTCCTATTCTATAGAAAGGACAAGGCTTTTTACTCGTTTATCGATTTTTTTTACCACTTTTACCTGAAATAGATGTTTCTTCATCTATTAATTTTTTTTTTTTTTGAAAATGTGAAATGTGTTAGAATATTCGAACCTCGAGGCTTTGCCAGGATAGAAATGGAAGGATTGTTTGAAAATGACAACAAGAAAGGACATTCGTAATTATAACAGGATCATAGAGTGAGGGATATATAATGCAAAGCAAACATATTTCGCGGATGCCCCTGTGACTCGCCCTTCAGCCCCCCTTCAACCAAGCCGTGTGACGCTTAATGAAATACGTGACCGAAGCCTTCGTCATAATCTCAAACACTTGATTCTACACTCCAAGTTTTGCGGGGAAAGGAGCGAGAGAAGAGGAATTTCCCTGTCTCTGAGCCAGTTGAGAGGAATCTCAGTGCTCTTAGCTTCGGCGCGTTTCGACTCTAATTTACAGCAGATATCGATCGTATTTGACGAGTTATAATTCTACGAGAACCACAAGAAATGCTTTTCGTCATTCATTTTAAATTTTTGAATACGCAAATGTTGTTCTTCATTATTTTTTCTAAATTATTTAAATTGAAACCAAACTTAGAAACAACAGAAATATATTTTAGAAACAATATTTACATGGAGAGAAAAATCAATTTTACTCTCAAGTAAATATAACGTAAACTATACCAAAGTTAGCGCTACTTGAGACCCAAATAGTTTTAACTTGGATCTTGCGTAGCGCTAACTTTGGTATAGTTTAGGTATATTTACTTCAAAGTCTCTTGATTTTTCTCGTGTGTATATTTTCGCATATTTTTTTTAAAATCCTATAGTGATTATCGAATTAAAGGTACAAATCAGTTAGGTAATATGAAGGGGAAAAAAAGGGGTTTGAAAAATAATTAACTCGTTAAAGAAAAGTGGCGGAATCGTTTTGGATCGAAACAAACGACAAAAGCGACTCAATTATAGAGGGAGGGGTGGGGTTCAATCATTAATTTTAAACGTGTGAATTAAAAGCGACGCGAAAAGGCCGTGGTATGACTTACAAACGTTCGACGATGGTGATGGGTTGAGTTGCAGAACGCGTACTGGTAACGCAATATTGGCGCACCCACATGGAATACCAATAGGGTCAGGAACGTCGTCCTATCCGACGGCTTCGAAAAAGGGCGAGAGAAAGACGACGACGAGGCTCTCTACCAAGATCTTAGAAACGAGAAATGCAAGGAAGAGATCTTTCCCTCTGCTCGTTTCTTGCTGGCGAAGAAATGTAAAACTCATGTCGAAACTTTCTAAGGAGAGAGAAAGAGAGAGAGAGAGAGGACACTCAAGAGGGTTCAAGTACCCTTTTAATGGCGCGGGAAATAATCGAATGACCCCTCCATCGAATTTCTTGATTCTAATCTCTGTTCTTCTTCGCATGACTATATATAATAATTTTTTATTTAATTTAAATTATTTTAAAATTCAAGAGTGATAACAGATAATCGTCACAGGAAGAAACTTTGAGTTTTTTTTTTTTTCACAATATCCGATAAAATCTTGCCACTTTGCACTCCATTGTAGATACTGTTACCAAATCCGATAAAATCCTCGGGTAAAAAAAAAGGAAAAATCCACTTGTGTTAAAAATAATTGGTTCGGGTGTGAAGCACCAACCAAAATCCGATATCTAAATATCGAGCACGTACAATCGCTTTGAATGTATATATGTATATGTATATATAGAAAGCAACTGCGTGTCGACAGTGGTTTCGATTTTGCATCGGTCACCTCTACAGACATAGCGGATTTCGCAAATGCTTTTTTGATCCCAACATTCTGGCCCGCGAGGGATAAAGAGGAAGAGAGAAATCAACAGGAAATGGAAGGGTGGGGGGGAAATATAGAGGGAGGGAGAGAGAAAGAGAGATGCAATGGGTTTTGGTCCCCTGGCGCCAATGACGCCAATCTCCCGTGTAAATCGCGACATATTTCACCTAGTGTGGGTTGGGGGTACTCATCCCAAACCATATTCACCCCCTACTTCCAAAATCCCTCCTCAACAGATTCAGGTTTCTTTTTTTTTTAGTCTCGTAACTCGTAACCCCCATCTATTCCCTCTTAACTTCCCCCCTCCACCATTTTGAAGGGGGAGTGAAAAAGTTTTCGAGTTGTTATCCCGGAACGATATTGTGATTTCAGAAGCCACATTCAACCGCATTGGGGCATGAGGAGAAATTTTACTTGCTTCTAACCTTTACTCCCTTTTTTGTGCGTACTGATTTATTTTTGAAATATTTTATCTTTTTATGTTTCTACGGGTTTTAAGAATCCTTGAGTGAGGGGTGGGGTGGATTGAAGTTTTTATTTTCGATGAGGAATTTTTCGA